AAAAAAAAAAAAAAAATATCGCTTCAAATTAGCAGCAACTGAATTTGCCTAAAAATGACTGACACTAATGAACAGGTTAGTTTTATTTAATTGATACGTTAATGATTTTGTTGTAGCAATTTTTCCTAAAATGATACTGTCTGTTTTTAATGACAGTTTAATCACCGATTGTTCTTTCATATATTACTAACATCGCGAACCGGACAACCATCTCTTGGTATCAGCGATGACTGACAACTGTATGCTTTGATCAAACTTCGCACAATGTTCATTGATTCTGAGGTCTCTGTATAGATGACTGAACAACTACTTAAAGGTTTAATCGGTTTAATCTATAAGTTGTTAAAATTAATCTCTTTGATTGTTTGCTTTTTTTCGCTGCAAAAATGCTCGGAAAACAACCTCTTGTTTTAGGATAAAGACGAAGATCGCAGTGTACGGGGCAAAATGAAACATACGATTTGGTGATGAAGAAACAATCTGTTGTTGGACAATGCTATTTTGATCTTATTTCCTTTTTTTTTTTTTGCATATTCAAATGTAGTATGTGTACCTTTTTAGCATTTAAGTCGTATTTAAGCGTTTTTTTCCTTCCCAATTAATCAAACTTTTTTTTAAAGTTTTACTTTCTGTACGTTAAATGGTTTATTAGTTTTCAAACAAGTTTTTTTTTTTTTGAAAATCAGGTTAAGCTAAAAAAATTCTTTTTTTTCGTTTAATTTTGCTGGAAAAACAAGAAATAAATACTTTAACATATTTTACTAGTTTATGTGCATTTTTCATGCTTCAATTTTTTTCTTTCTTTATTTCTAATCCAAATAAAATTTGTACGATGCGAGACACACTGCTGTGGCACAATCATTAGCAACTGGAAAAAATTTTACATCCAAATTCCGGATAGCTCTTATACAGCACAGTATTGAAGTGTAGCAAAAGATAGAAATTGTTTAGTGTTCTGCTTCATAAAAATAAAAACAAAAAAAAGCACTTGTAAAGTTGAGTGTTGAGTTCAATTTGAACAAAAAAAAAAAAGTGCTCCAGTGCTGACTGCTGTCGTATGCCGAATATGACGAGTTACAGTGTCGTCAAAATGCACAGGTGAAAATCGTTGTAGGACCACTTTTGTGCTGCAAAAAAAAATCGTTGTAGGACCACTTTTGTGCTGCCTGCAATCTCTACAACAATAAGTTTTGCATAAAATTTGTACGGTAAATTGTGCTACCGTAATTTCCAATCTAACAAATTGTCACTGCTGTAATTCCACTGTTAAGAAGCCAAACAAAAAAAAAGATCATAATCATAGTTTATACATATTTCCTTAGCTATAAGCAATAACATATTTATACAATAATCATTGTTTTATATCTCCGGGAAATACAACAAACTGTATCAAAAATTTACCATTTATTAAGACGCATCTTGTTATTTTTTTTTTTGACGGTTTTTTTTTGTTTTTTTGCTCTTTTTTTTATATTTTATATTTGTTTTTTTTCTTTTACCAGACATAACATAGACCCGCATTACGGAAGAGTGCTGTATTTTAAAGTAAGCAATAGAAAAAACAGAGGATATAAAAAAAAAAAATTAGCTTTGTTAAGAGATCAGTACATATCCGTCGTCA